AATTAAAAAGTTCAATTCCAACCTACCTACTCCGTGCCGCGTGTAGCCGCGGGCACGGAGTCCGCACTAACGGGGATTTAAAAATGGCGGCGCCCGGAAAGATGCAAATGAAGCCCGGGATATTTAAATCCCGGGCTTCATTTGCAACTTCGGTTGCCTACATTAACCACCCTAGTTCGAACTAGGGTGGTAGTGTAGACATACCCTACAACAGCCAAAATTACATTTGGGGCTAACTTCTACCTTTATAAGTACTACCTCCAGCATCTTGCAGTACTACACTTGCATCAGAAGGCAGATTTAAGCTTAGATACTGTATAAAATAAAAATCGGGATGTTGATTAAACTATATTTAACTAACTGACTAATCAATGGATTTTTCATCAACTAGTTAATTACAGTTAGTTAGCAGGGGAGCCGCAGTGGGGGTTAGCTTCTGGTCCCAGCTCCTCTGCCTTTTAAATGTATTAAGAGCCAGCAGACTTTTAATACACTGAAAAGGCCGAAGCGCTAAGGTCCCCCCTGCTGAGCTTCTGATTTTTAAATGTATTAAGAGCCAGCAGGCTCTTTATAAATTTAAGAGGCAGAGTTGCAACATCTGGGACTAGGCGTGAGTCGGTCATCAGCTGATTCCTGGCTCATGCCTGGTCCCCACTACTCCCCTGCCCCCTGTGAAGATGGTGCTGGGGCGAACTGGCTTTTAAGATAGCTTCCCCAGCACCGGCTCCCCCCGCCTCTGCTAGAAGCAGCAAAGCAGAGGGGGAAAAGCTACTAGTCGAGGAACTAGTCAACTAGTTGCTTACATCCCTCATAAAAATATTAACAAAATTTGCTTAAGGTACTTGATGCTATTATACTAGCCACATCTCACATTCCTGGCACTATTGTATTCAGCACAAGGAGGGCAGGAGAGTTTCAGTTTTGAGGAACTATCTTATCTTTCCCTGTTTCAAAACGTATCTGCATATATATATCAACATTTCTTTGTTTTATTTTCAAACCTCTGTGGACAATATACCAATAACTCCATGAGGACCATTAAGCACAGTTCTTGCTTGAACAAAAAACATTTGCTTGTGGTCAACTTCTGACAGTGTATTTATAGATCATCTGAAGAAGTGGATTTTGCCCACAAAAGCTCATGATACTGTTTTTTATATTAGTCTCCAAAGTGCCACAGTTGTTTTTAGTGTATTTACAGTGCCATCTATTGGAAAAAGTATGACACTGCATGTCTTGATAGTTACAAGAAATGCTTTTAACCCAACAGCCTTTAACTCCATCATCATCCAACTTGTGAACTGATCTTATTTGCCCAGAAAGAACACCATCTGTTAGTCACTAAAGAGGTGTGATTCACACAGGAGACTAAGAGCAGCCATTCTGAGTCAGGCACAAAGTCCATCTAGCCCAGTAGCCTGTCTTCGGACAGTGGCCAGTGCCAGGTGTCCCAGAGGGAAGAACAGAGCAGGGAATCATTAAGTGATCCCTCTGCTGACACCCATTCCCAGCCACTGACAGAGCGGCTAAGGACACCATTCCTGCCTATCCTGGCTAATAACCATCGATGGACCTAACCTCCGTGAACTTCTCTAGCTCGATATGTTAAATTAATGGACTTCACGTCTTCCGGTAAGGAGTTCCACAGGTTGACTGAGTTATGAAAGAAATACTTCCTTTTGTTTTAAACCTGTTGCCCATTAATTTCATTTAGTTCTTGTGTTAAGGAAGTGCTACTTACTCCTTCCCATATCTATTTTCTCAATACAAGTAAAGACTGTATTGACCTCAATCATATCCCCAATTTAGTCATTTCTTTTCCAAGCTGAGAAGTCCCTATTTTATTGATCTCTCAAGACAGAAGTCATTCCAAACCCCAAATCATTTTTATGCCCTTTTCTGAACCTTTTCCAATTCCAATCATTTTTTTCATTGGGCAACACCATTTGCACACAATATTCAAGATGTGGGTTTAACATGGATTTATTTATAGGCACTACAGGCAGTCCCCGAGTTACACGAACGGGGCTTTTCTCGCCCCGGAGGATGCGGGCGGCAGGACCGCCCAGACGCGCCGCTGTCCCGCCGCCCGGGTCCTCCGGGGCTTTGCTCTGCATCTCCTTGGTCTGCTGGGGGGGCCCCGCAGACCAGGGAGACGCGGAGCAAAGCCCCGGAGGACCCGGGCGGCAGGACCGCCGAGACGCGCGTGGTCCTGCCGCCCGGATCCTCCATGGCTTTGCTCCCCGTCCCCCCGGGCTGC